GAAGACAGTGGATTTTCCTGAGTGGCCGAGTTACAGTTTTGACTTAAATTTACTTGAAAATCTATGGCAAGACCTGAAAATGTTTGTCTAGCAATGGTCAACAACCAAATTTGACAGAGCTTGAAGAATTCTGAAAATAATAATGGGCAAATGTTGTACAATCCAGGTGTGGAAAGCTCTTAAAGACTTACCCAGAAAGACTCACAGCTGTAATCATAGCCACCGGAAAAATCTGAACAAAAGTAGTGCACTGGTCCTTTACCAGTCCTGTATTAGAGGACTGTATAGACGTCTATACCGCAGGCAAAACTATTTTTTCAGCATCTCTGCTTTGCCAAAATAAGTATATATTATTTTTTTTACCCAATTGGTTGTTACAGTCTTGTCCCATCGCTGCAACTCCCGTACGGACTCAGGAGAGGCGAAGGTCGAGAGCCATCTGTCCTCCAAAACACGACCGTGCCAAGACGCACTGCTTGCTTAACCTGGAAGCCAGGTTGTGTCAGAGGAAACACCGTACAACTGGCGACCGTGTCAGCGTGCGTGCGCCCGGGCCCGCCACAGGCGTCGCTAGAACACGATGGGACAAGGACATCCCGGCCGGCCAAACCCTCCCCTAACCCGGACGACGCTGGGCCAATTGTGCGCCGCCTCATGGGTCTCCCGGTCACAGCTGGCTGTGACACAGCCTGGGATCGAACCCTTAGACCGCTGCGCCACTCGGGAGGCCCCCAAAAGAAGTAGATGTATAATTAAAGAACAGGATTCAATAGTTGGAATTGTAAGAGTTGTTGCCCTGTCCCTTTCTCTGCGATAATCATTCTAATGGGATCCAGAAAGAAAAAAAAACTGTCCTCAAACATTTACATCAAAAAGTTATGGGCAAAGACTCAAAACGTCCACATCAAATTAAATATTTTTCTTGATCAAATTACATGGAAACAACCATTTTTTTCTGCAGTATTAATTTACCATCCTTACAAACCACTTAAAGTAAACGTTCATTACTGTATTGTACATAGGCTGGTCATCTAAGGTTGCACCTGTAGACCTGTCACCATGACGAAAAACAATACATTAATTGAGTACATTGAGATGATGTGATGTGATGATGTGGCTCATCTCCCGACGTCCTCAAGACATGGATGGACGTCGAATACTGACTTGTATCTTGGGTGACCTGGCTGCACTTAGACACAGGGGATCTCTCAACTTCTGTCATGAATTATATTAATCAGAACATTGAACCAAACATTAGGTCACTTAGACACAGGGATCTCTCAACTCCTCTGATTAATTATATTAATCAGAACATTGAACCAAACATTAGCTCACTTAGACACAGGGATCTCTCAACTCCTCTGATTAATTATATTAATCAGAACATTGCGGAGGGAAAATAAACAGGTTTCTACAGATGAGTGAAAGAGTGAGTGGGTAGCATAAACACATGAGAAACGGTTGAGAAGCTTTGATAATATATTGGAGAAACATCCTATACTTTGTCAGGACACACGCAAACAGACACACACACACTTTGCAGTGCATAGTTGACCTTTGACTGTGTGTGTATATGCGAGCGTGTGTGCTAACGCTTTGCCATGTACCCTTTGGAATCTCCCAATTCTATGCTGCCACCCTGAAACAAACTCAATGTCAGTTCTTAGTTAGCTACAGCCAGCGTTAGCTACAGCCAGCGTTAGCTACAGCCAGCGTTAGCGTCGTTGATTAGATGACAAGACATAACTAACTAGCTCATCCTCTAATACTCATGTTGTGTTTGTGTATTCCAAGCTACATGCTGACTGCCAGTCACAGTCTTCAAACTCCAGGATGGCATGGATATCTTAGCAGCTAACTTGACGATGATCTCTCATATCTATCTCATCACCAGCTGCTGCCCTTTAGGATGCACGTGTAACAGGGTGAATGAGCCTTACCCGGGGTGAATGAGCCTTACCCGGGGTGAATGAGCCTTACCCGGGGTGAATGAGCCTTACCCGGGGTGAATGTGCCTTACCCGGGGTGAATGTGCCTTACCCGGGGTGTTCCACATACAGGCTATAGGCTAGCTAGAGGGTTGGGGTGGGGGTAAGCAGCTGTAGAGGGTTGGGGGTAGTGGTAAGCAGCTGTAGAGGGTTGGGGGTGGTGGTAAGCAGCTGTAGAGGGTTGGGGGTGGGTAGTGGTAAGCAGCTGTAGAGGGTTGGGGGGGTAGGGGTAAGCAGCTGTAGAGGGTTGGGGGTAGGGGTAAGCAGCTGTAGAGGGTTGGGGTGGGGGGTAAGCAGCTGTAGAGGGTTGGGGTAGGGGTAAGCAGCTGTAGAGGGTTGGGGGTAGGGGTAAGCAGCTGTAGAGGGTTAGGGGTAGGGGTAAGCAGCTGTAGAGGGTTGGGGGTAGGGGTAAGCAGCTGTAGAGGGTTGGGGTGGGGGGTAAGCAGCTGTAGAGGGTTAGGGGTGGTGGTAAGCAGCTGTAGAGGGTGGGGGGGGGTGGTGGTAAGCAGCTGTAGAGGGTTGGGGGTAGGGGGTAAGCAGCTGTAGAGGGTTAGGGGTTGGTCGGTAAGAAGCTGTAGAGGGTTGGGGGGTAGGGGGGTAAGCAGCTGTAGAGGGTTGGGGTGGGGGGTAAGCAGCTGTAGAGGGTTAGGGGTAGGGGTAAGCAGCTGTAGAGGCATTTGAAACCCCACCTCTTTAAGGAATACCTGGGATAGGATAAAGTAATCCTTCTACCCCCCCCCAAAATTGTAAAGTGGTTATCCCACTGGCTATAGGGTGAACGCACCAATTGGTGAGTCGCTCTGGATAAGAGCGTCTGCTAAATGACGTAAATGTGCCCTTGAGCAAGGCACTTAACTCTAATTGCTCCTGTAAGTCGCTCTGGATAAGAGCGTCTGCTAAATGACTAAAATGTAAATGTAAATGTAAATGTAGAGGGTTGGGGGTAGGGGTAAGCAGCTGTAGAGGGTTGGGGTGGGGGTATGCAGCTGTAGAGGGTTGGGGTAGTGGTAAGCAGCTGTAGAGGGTTAGGGGTGGTGGTAAGCAGCTGTAGAGGGTTGGGGGTGGTGGTAAGCAGCTGTAGAGGGTTGGGGGTAGGGGTAAGCAGCTGATAGGGGTTAGGGGTGGTGGTAAGCAGCTTGTAGAGGGTTGGGGGGGTTGGAGTGGTAAGCAGCTGTAGAGGGTTGGGGGTAGTGGTAAGCAGCTGTAGAGGGTTGGGGGTAGGGGTAAGCAGCTGTAGAGGGTTGGGGGTAGTGGTAAGCAGCTGTAGAGGGTTAGGGGTAGGGGTAAGCAGCTGTAGAGGGTTGGGGGTAGGGGTAAGCAGCTGTAGAGGGTTGGGGTGGGGGGTGGAGGGGTAAGCAGCTGTAGAGGGTTAGGGGGTAAGTGGTAAGCAGCTGTAGAGGGTTGGGGTGGTGGTAAGCAGCTGTAGAGGGTTGGGGTCATGGTAAGCAGCTGTAGAGGGTTAGGGGTGGTGGTAAGCAGCTGTAGAGGGTTGGGGGTGGTGGTAAGCAGCTGTAGAGGGTTGGGGGTAGGGGTAAGCAGCTGTAGAGGGTTGGGGTGGGTGGTGTAAGCAGCTGTAGAGGGTTGGGGGTAGGGGGTAAGCAGCTGTAGAGGGTTGGGGGGTGGTAAGCAGCTGTAGAGGGTTGGGGGGTAGGGGTAAGCAGCTGTAGAGGGTTGGGGTGAGGGGTAAGCAGCTGTAGAGGGTTGGGGTGGGGTGGTAAGCAGCTGTAGAGGGTTGGGGGTAGGGGTAAGCAGCTGTAGAGGGTTGGGGTAGGTAAGCAGCTGTAGAGGGTTGGGTGGTAGGGGTTAAGCAGCTGTAGAGGGTTGGGGTAGGGGTAAGCAGCTGTAGAGGGTTGGGGTAGGGGGTAAGCAGCTGTAGAGGGTGTGAGGTGTGGTGGTGGTAAGCAGCTGTAGAGGGTTGGGGGTAGGTGGTAAGCAGCTGTAGAGGTGGGTGGGGTGGTGGGGGTAGAGCAGCTGTAGAGGGTTGGGGGTAGGGGTAAGCAGCTGTAGAGGGTTGGGGTGGGGGGGTAAGCAGCTGTAAGGGGGGGGGGTGGGGAGGGTGAGTGGGGTAGGGGGTAAGCAGCTGTAGGAGGAGCATGTTAGAGGGTGGGTAGGTAAGCACTGTAGAGGGTTAGGAGGGTAAGAGCTTAAGGGTGGGTGGAAGCAGCTGTGAGTGTGGTAAGAGCGTGAGTGGGGTAAAGCAGCTTGAGAGGCTTGACTTAACATCTTGTAGAGGTCGCTGGGAGGTAAGAGGTATGCTGCTATGGCTAAATGTAAATGTAAATGTAGAGGGTTGGGGTTAGGGTAAGCAGCTGTAGAGGGTTGGGTGGGGTAAGCAGCTGTAGAGGGTTGGGGTAGTGGTAAGCACTTGAGGGTTTAGGGTGGTGGTAAGCAGCTGTAGAGGGTTGGGGGTGGTGGTAAGCAGCTGTAGAGGTTGGGGGTAGTGGTAAGCAGCTGAGTGAGGGTAGTAGGGTAAGGTGGTGGGGTAAGCAGCTGTAGAGGGTTGGGGGTAGGGGTAAGCAGCTGTAGAGGGTTGGGGTAGTGGTAAGCAGCTGTAGGGGTGGTAGGTAGGGGTGAAGCAGCTGTTAGAGGGTTGGGGTAGTGGTAAGCAGCTGTAGAGGGTTAGGGGTGGTGGTAAGCAGCTGTAGAGGGGTTGGGGGTAGGGGTAAGCAGCTGTAGAGGGTTGGGGGTAGGGGTAAGCAGCTGTAGAGGGTTAGGGGTGGTGGTAAGCAGCTGTAGAGGGTTGGGGTGGTGGTAAGCAGCTGTAGAGGGTTGGGGTAGTGGTAAGCAGCTGTAGAGGGTTGGGGGGAGGGGTAAGCAGCTGTAGAGGGTTGGGGGTGGTGGTAAGCAGCTGTAGAGGGTTGGGGGTAGGGGTAAGCAGCTGTAGAGGGTTGGGGTGGTGGTAAGCAGCTGTAGAGGGTTGGGGGTAGGGGTAAGCAGCTGTAGAGGGTTGGGGTAGTGGTAAGCAGCTGTAGAGGGTTGGGGGTAGTGGTAAGCAGCTGTAGAGGGTTGGGG